GCAGCAACTGTTCCAAAATTATTTGCTTGAGGCCATGCCTACAAAACTGTTCACTTCATTGAGCTGGACAGTCCCACTAAATGTAGGGGTTATCTTTAAAGAGGATCAGTTAACTTAAGGCCAGAAAATGTTCTTGATTTAAATGAAACCACCTTGGCAGGCTCCACGGACAATTCCTTCCCCTTTGCCCAGGTGGGTCTGGGTGTCTGGCATGGTCCATGGATTGGCCAGTGTGAGCATCTGGCCGCTGCTCCAAAAACCTTTCTGTACCACAGCCAACGGTTACCTCCAACGCATCTCCATCAGAGTAAAAGAGAAGTCAAGGGAGTCAGAGATCAACAATATTACACCAATTTTCATGACAAGTACCTAATAGTGAAAGGTTCCCTGGATATTCTCCTACTTGGAAAAAAAGGAAGGAGGGAAGAAGGCAGGCAAAGAACAATCAAGCATTCTTAAGATGCTTCTACTCTGATAGCAGTTTTAAAAAAATAATTTTGCCAAATGCCTTGAAATAACAGAATAACTTGGGTATATCTCCCAACATGATGAGGAAATATTGAGCTAAAAAGAATGATTTTTTAAAATATATTTTTACTGATTTCAGAGAGGAAGGAAGAGGGAGAGAGATAGAGGAAAGAGAGATAAACATCAGCGATGAGAGAGAATCACTGATCAGCTGCCTCCTGCATCGCTGGGTTGAAACCGGAACCCAGGCATATGCCCTGACCTGGAACCGAACTATGACCTCCTGGTTCATAGGTCAACACTCAACCAGTGAGTGCAGGTGTTCCATGCAACTAAAGGGTGCCCCTACAGAATGCAGAGGGAGGAGGTGCTGTAGTAGGAGTGACTCGGGAGGTAAACTAGTGGGCCCATATGTGACCACACCTAACCCGTCCTCCCTGACGATGTCTGAGAGAAACCCACACAAGGTGCAATGAAACGCAATGGGGATTCAGAGTAACCTCCTTGTGCTCCATGTAGGTCAACAGAATTCATGTTTATGTCACCGTGATTTCTGTTTCACACGGGCCCTTATAGAAATACAAAAATAGCCAGAGGGATTCACTTATAGAAAATTACTTTAGTCTCTTTTACATTCTATAAGAGACAGAAAACCAAATTACCTAAAATAAGATCCAAGGTAGGATGATGATTTTAAGATTCACTGAAAATGGTAAATTACTATTATTTTTTTAAAATATTTTTATTGATATTTAGAGAGAAAGAAAGAGGGAGAGAGAGAAAGAGAGAAATATCGATGTGAGAGTGCAACATGGAACTGATAATCTCCTACTGGGGATCGAGCCCATAACCATGTCATGTGCCCTGACAGGGAATCGAACGAACGGGCAACCTTTTGGTGCGTGGATGACGCCCAACCAACTGAGCTACACCAGCCAGGGAAAATTACTATTATTTTTAAAACAAGGTGGTCCCACACATTCTTTTGTTGTTAACTTTTAAACCCATGGAAATTATGAGGAAAATCCAAAGTATATATGAGTTCTGACTCATTTACACACATTACTCATCAATTTAAATGAATAAATACTCAAAAAAAGTCTTTCTTCGAGAGATACCGTTTAACAGCCAGAATCCAACTCACAAAGACTTAAACACAACTTGGTTTTATCCTGGAATAACAGAAGCCAGGGCTAATCAGGTCCCGCTCAACCCAAGAAACTAATAAGATTCCCTCTACCCACCTAGTTTCCCCACATCTAATATTTTATTTTTGGCTTTCTGGTCTAATGATGATGGAAATTCTGCAGTCCCCAATTTTTCAGAAAGAAACGATTAAAAAGTTTCACTTACTGAGAAGACAGTGCTAAAAGTGAATGATGACAGACATTCCCAGGACTCTGATGTGTGTGTGTATGTGTGCGCACGCGTGCATGTGTGTGACAAATGAACAAATAGAAGAAGCAGAAATCTCAGTAAGTTAAAGAAGTTAAGGGACAAAGATGCCCTAGTGTCACACAGCCAGACCAAACAGGATGTCTTGTTTTTCAGGAGCAAATTGGCTGCAAAAACATTTGGAAAAACAACCACAAGCAAGCAAAAGCAGAAAGCAAACACTCTAAACTCTGAATGCTACACTACGATGTGATAGAGAAAACAATTTGTCACAGTCCTCAAAGTCCTAAGCGCTTAACCCAGTGAGATTTTTAACACAGAGCCATCTCCTAACCAAGAGGAGCACAATCATTGCCCTGTTGAACGTTCCCCCAACCTGCACAGCTCAGTGGCGACTGCCCAGGCACTGCACCAAGGCTCCAACTAAAGAGCAGAGCTCAGTGTTTGAAGGAAAACTGCCCTGGACAGCAGGGAAATTTAGAAATCAGGCCAGGAAGGACCTTCCCCTTCCATTAACTAAGGTGTTACAGAGCTCCTACCGACAGCTCATTCTGCGAGAGTGTGTTGGGTGTTCTTGGACTGAATGCTTAGCTCCCCCATGAACACCTAGCAGAAGAGCCAAACATGCTATTCTCTCCTCTGACTTTCCTTCTAATTTCTCCACTGGCCAAGGTGTTTGTCAGAGGCTTCCCAACTGAGCCTCAGCTCCTTGCGAGGCATTAGCCAGAGAAATCACTACTCCGCTTGGCAGCCTGCCTTTCTCCCAGCCAAAGGCTAGCATTTCAAAAGACTCACTTGAGAAGGTTGGCTCCTCTGGAGTGCGCAATGTGAATAATTATGGTTACAAGGCATTTGGCAAGTGCTCTAGTAATAGAGTTTCAAAAGAATATGTAGATCATGAAACACATTAATAACTCTGAAGCGAGGCAGTAATTCATGCCTGCCATTCTGTACCCACATGCTAAAATGAGTTTGACAGAAAGCATCGCCCATCACGAGCCTTCTGGGCATGTCTGCACCTATTGCTATTATACTTGCTCACTTAGCTATGGGCCGCTGTGTGAGGTGACTCCACATGTTCAAACTTCAACTTATTATCTAATCCCAACATGTTCCTTACTCCTGGTTGTTCTGGTCACACTCCTGTCTTTCTCTTACTGCCTTATTCAACTGGTCACCAAGTTCCTAATTGTCACTTGCTTATCTTCCCCTACTCTCCATTGCTACTTCTGTCTTAGTTAAGACCTCTAACCTCCCTTGCCCAGATACTAAAATACCTGTTGTTAGTCTCCTTGCCTCCAGGTTAGTTCCTAATGAATGTCTCTTGTACTGTTCCTAACAAGCTTCTAAAATATAAGTCTTGCAAACAATAAATTCATAAACACATTTGAAAAAAAATATAGGTGCATATTTTTAATAGTCTTGGAGTGGGAAGAAACATTTCTGAGCATAACATAAAATCTAGAAGGCATAAATATAGTTACTAAAAAAATCTATAAACTAAAGGGCATTATCATCAAAGGTAAAAAAACAACTGGGGGAAGTAGCGGCAACACAGATGGCAGGAGACATGCTAATTTCCTTAATATATAAAGAGTTCTTACGACTCACTAAGAAAAATACCTATCTGTAAATCTGAAATAACATACTGAGTCCATCTCTTCCCCACACTAGGAGAGGAAAAGCTAATGCAAACAATTATAAAGCGTGACTATGGCACAAAGTGTCCTGTAGAGACAGGCATTAAAAAATTGCTTAGATATCACTATTAGCAAACTTGCTTCAAATGCCCTGCCTAGATTCAATGATATCATATGTCAACAATGAGATACCTGTAAACAGTTGAAAAATGCCTCTGGACTCTGTTTCTGCCTTTGGAGCACAGTGGAGCATGCTCACACAGAACAAATCATTGCCATAAAGCC